AACATAATCCGATCTCTTTATTCTCATACTTCTGGGCAAGTGAGGGTGTATGCTGAGCTCTCCAAAAGCTTTCCTACAAAAAGTGATGTCAGACAAGGATGTCCATTCTCCCCGTTCTTATTCAACTTCGTCATCGATGAAATAATGAGGCGAACACTGGACGGTTTTCAAAACCCCGGTGTTCAGATTGTTGCTGGCGAGAGCCTTGTCGATCTGGAGTACGCAGATGACATCGACCTCATCTTTGAAGACCATAGCGAAGCACAGGCCCTGTTGAATAAACTGACCACCATCATACCATCTTTTGGCATGCGACTTGCACCTTCAAAGTGCAAAGTTCTGCTTCAGAACATGCCATCTGCGAATATATCCCTTACAATTCAAGGAGAACCACTGGAGATTGTGGAAAACTTTACACACCTCGGTAGTTGTATTAGCTCTGATGGAAGTGCGTCTGATGAAGTCAGTGCAAGAATCTCAAAGGCTCGAATCACGTTTGCTAATTTGCGTCACTTGTGGCGTCAAAAAGGCATCTCACTGGATCTTATGGGTCGTGTGTACCAGGCTACAGTAAGAGCTGTGTTGCTGTATAGGTGCGAGGCAAGGCCTCTGCGGACAGATGATGTGAGGCGTCTTCAGGTTTTCGACCACCGATGCCTCAGAAGCGTGGCTGGTTGTGGATGGCGTCAGCGTGTCAGTAACGAGGCGATTAGAAAACGGGTATTTGGTTGTGCTGCAGGCACCTCAATCCGGGAAAACATCCAGCATCATCGACTGCGATGGCTCGGTCATGTGCTACGCATGCCGAAACACCGTCTACCGAGACGAGTGTTGTTCTCCGTGCCTCCTTCAGGATGGCGCAAACCGCGAGGTGGACAGCACATGACTTGGCAGAAAGGCGTGAAAGAGATCACGAAGAGTTTGGGTGTTGTTGGTGTTGTGCGACTTCCAGGATGGGGTCCCCGTGACCCCGTCTGTGCTTGGCTGGAGACGTTGCAAGAAATGGTGGCTAATCGATGTCAGTGGCGTTCTTGCTGTCAGTTTCTTTCCAGATTGTCTGACTGAGCGGTTGGAGGTGTAAGCACCTCACTATGCTTGGCATAGGCCAGCACTAAGTTCCCTCCCTCAACCACTCTTTTGCTCTTCTCTTCTCCGTAGGGCTTTTAATACAATTATATATACATACAAACTAGACAAACCTTATGGTTGTACGGCAGTGAAGCATCAGTGGCAACACTGATGTTGCTGTCTTTGATGATGATGATGATGATGATGATGATGATGATGATGATGATGATGCAAAGCTCCTGATTGTGACGAGATCCAGCGTTCATTAGGGTGTCCGAGCGATCTCGGGTAGACAGTATCAAAGGCTGTGAGTATTAATTCTTCCATCTTTCTCCAATTATCTTCTACATCACCATTTTATGTGGCGACCTCTAGAAGATTCTCAGTCACCTCAGTACCATAGGGCTGACGCTTAATACCCAAGGGCCAAGGCTTCGCCTGCCGCCGTAAGGCCAGAGGCTTTGTCACAATCGAAGTTCAAATGACGCCCATGTGGTTACTACATTCGATGCAAGCACCTTTTTGGAATAGGCAATATTTGTTTGGACGGTCAGGCCCCCACTAACAATTTGATGTTTTGCAATATTTCACTACGGTATCATTTCCTCTGTTGTAGCCAACTGAGTTGCTTCACTCTTTCTTATATTCTCAGTATATATTCTCAATATGAAAATTCTTCATCCATTCTCCTTTGTCTTTTTCCTTGGGATTTACCGCCACAGCACTCAGAATACGCAAGGCAATACAGTGAGTTCTAACAATTTTCTAAATCACCTAGCTACCACAACTACAGCACTGCCGATGGGTATCCCACGATGTTGACTTCAGTTGACCAACATCGGTTAATTTTAGAATAGAGCAAAAGCTATCTGAGCATTCGCAACTGCAGCAGTCAAAGCAAATTGAGCACACGTAGCTGAAACTCATAGAAACCCTGACCAAAAATGTGTTCAGCTTGCAGACAGCAGCATAAATCAACCATCAATTTCAACTGCAGACTGTATTGCCGATTCTATTGGAATTTATTTTTGAGGCGGATGCAGATGAAACTTTCGAGTCTTGTTCAAAAGGTACGAAGATATCTTCAAAGTTGATTTCGCCAGGCGAGAGGAGCTATGGAAGGTACAGTTGTTACTGCGGGAACTTGGTACACGTGGACATAACCGATACACGAATTACCTAATTCCTAAACAACCCAATGATCTCAGCTTCGACAGGACTATCCAGACCCTCACGCAAACCCTTGGGGACAACATGTCCTTGTTCAAAATCCGACACCAACGCCTCAACTTGGACATGAAAGATGATGAATTTGTCGGTTTTGCAACGCTTGTCAACCGGGAATGCGATCGCTGCAAGCACAGCGATATGGCATCTAGTTCTCTCACCATGCAAACATCCAGAGATTTTCGCGCAAAACTGAACATAACCAAAAGAAAACCTTAAAGGGGCTCAGTGCTGAATATCACCGTCAAATCCAGTTGAACCAGGACAACATAATGATCGGCCAAGCATCATCTGGGTCACACGACACGGTGCATCGTTTTACTAAGAAGCCCCCCATCTCAAATACAAAAAGTTTTCTACACCGTATTAGTCTTGTGGTGACTGACATTATGCCGCTTTTGTCCGTTCAGAAAACACCGGTGCCACACCTGCGGTCATAGTGGTCATTAGGAAGGAGTTTGACTCCCACAAAGAACCAAGCCAACTGAGCACCGAGAGAACGCATTAAAGACGTCTTCCGCATCACACAGGAAGCTATATCGGTCTGGCAATCTAGAGGCTGTTGCGATAGGGTGTGTAGGGGTGGGTATCATTCTAAGTTACAAGGCGAAAAATACTGGGTACCCGTTGATAGTTGCCTCTGTGTGGTTCGACTGGCGAATTCTGAGGAGTCTCAAAAGCGGGGAGTTGGCCAATTTTTGTTTACCGTAGCCCTGTACGCCCCAACCGACTGTAGATCTGACGTCACCGAAGATAATATTTATTACGCACTGAATGCCCTGTTGCGGCGAGCTAAAAGCTCAGATATCGTTGTGGTCACTGAAACTCTGAATGTACAAATGGTAGGCTCAATTAGGCGGTTGACGTGGGTTAGAGTCGGTAGATACGGACAATGGTTGACGATTGTTTCAGCTATGTGCTGACTACAGTCTGATTTTATGCCGAGGTCATTTGGTCACAACGTTCTCCAACGGCGTACCGGTTACGAACTCAAATTGCTCAGAACGCCATCAGTTGCCGATGCCGTGTATCAATAGTTGATTGCCGTTCGTCCTACAACAAATTTGTGGATCCCGACCACGCACTCGTCTGGAATCGCTTCTCCGTTCCTTTTCCAAGACCGCATGAGGTGCGGAAAAGTCACCTTGTGACTGACAGCCTGGTAGATCTGAATGTTAGACGAACTCACCAGCGTCGTCTTCTAGATTCTTCCAAGTGCCCTACCATCAGATGTGACTTCAGAGTGGAACGAGATCGCCAACTGCTTGCAGAGCGTTGGGAGTTTCGCCTGTGGCATGGCACTATCAGATCCACTCAGGCACTGGATATCAGACCAGTGGCACTGCTTAAATCTCGGAAACATTCCAGCCGATCCTGTCCGTAATTTGGTCCTACGAATTATCAGACGTGGAGTGAAAGTGAGTGCGCGCGCAAATCTGGAGGATACGGAAGGCCAAGGAAATGGAAGAGGCTCATGAAGCCGGTAATGGCGGGGGGCTATCTCAGTTGATCCGTGCGGCCTGTCTCCGGAAACCACCAATGAGCGAAACCATCAAGGATCAGAATGGGGTGACCATCTTGAATAAAGAAAACTGTCTGGACCGGTGGGCCGAATACTTTGGACAGCAGTTATTTTGGCCACCAGCTGCCACTCATCTGAAACCTACAGCTGACGTAGAATCCTGGATGGTGATGGAAACTATTACGGCCTCGGAGGTTCACGGCTGCAAGTGTTCTCTTAAACCTCACCGAGGTTCTGGTCCCGATGACCTCTTGGGGGTGAATTCCTCAATCGGCGCTTGTCTAATCTGTTTACTTGCGTGTGGGAAAAGGCGACTGTCCCGAACAACTGAGAGAGTGATAGTGCCCATTATCAAAAAAAGGACCCTTAGTGAGTGTGGTAACCATAAAGATATCCGTTTTACTCCGGTCATAACGAGACCGTTGGCGTCGTTGTGCTTCGTCGTCTTATGGTGGCCCGTGAAACACTAACTCAAGAGCAGCAAGTGGGGCTCTGTCCTGATGGGGGCTGGGTTGAACACCTCTTTACAATCCGCGCGAGAACAACGTCATGCATACAATCAATCGACAATTTTAATATTTCTGGATTTCCAAGGCACACTGGACTAGATTGACTGGTATGTTCTCCTTGATACGCTTGCTCACGAAGGTCTCCAAAAGCGGTGTTCATCACGGGTGGCTAATCTATCCGCTCCCATTTAATTTCGTGCTCGATGCAATAATGATCGTTCAGCTGTAACCGTTTCGGTGCCTAGCTGCCATGCCACTAGAAGGAGGCAGGATGACTGGGATACTGCCAGGTTGCCCAAGCCTAGACAGGGGAAGTCGAGAGAAAGAGGTCGGGTCCGCCGCCGTCCGCCATATTCTCGAACGAAATCAATGCTCCCAACAACCAACAGTGAGAGGAAAAGGTGGGGGCCCGCCGCCGTCCGCCATATTCTCGAACGAAATCAATGCTCCCAACAACCAACAGTGGTAGTCTTCCGTGACTTGAAAGCTGCCTTTGGCTCTGTAGACCGTGAGGCAATATGGCAGTGTCTGTGGAGCGAAAGCGTCCCGCATAAATTCTTAACCCTTCTTAGGGCGCTGTACGCCAACTTCCGTGGGCATGCGAATGTCTACGGGAAGCTCGTACCTGAATTCACCGCATCAGGTGATGTCAGGCAAGGCTGTTTTCTTTCAACTTTCCTCTTCAAATTCGTCACTGATACGATTGTGAAAGACTCACTACCAGCCTCTAGTGCTCACAGATATCGAGTACGCAGACTGCATAGCCTTTCGTGGATCTGACATCGTCATAATGCAAACGTTATTAAGAAAATATAATTCTGCCTCACGGTTCGGCATCCGCTCCACACCTGCAAAGCGTAAAGTACTGCTGCAAGACTGGGTGGGACCGAATCATAACCTCATGCTTGCAAATGAACCGATAGAGGTAGTGGAGAAATTTGCCTACCTGAACAGTCGCAGCGATCCCAGTGCTTTCGTCAAAGATGATGTTTTCAACCAGATTTTCATGTTACAGTTTTCATGAATCTACATTACCTGTGGAGTAGGCGTGACACCAGCTTATCCATCAAGCGTCGAGTTTACAATCCTGCGATTCGCTCAATATTATTATACAGGTTAGAAACCTAGCCGCTACGGGTCGAGTGCACCAAAAGACTCAGTATTCGACCATCGATGTCTTCGAAGCATTGACCGAGTTTGATGGGGACGCCGGAGCAGTAATGTCGAAGTATGTCGAATGGTTCTCGGAAAAACTAATGCACCCATATAATTCTGACGGTTCGGCATCCGCTCCACACCTGCAAAGCGTAAAGTACTGCTGCAAGACTGGGTGGGACCGAATCATAACCTCATGCTTGCAAATGAACCGATAGAGGTAGTGGAGAAATTTGCCTACCTGAACAGTCGCAGCGATCCCAGTGCTTTCGTCAAAGATGATGTTTTCAACCAGATTTTCATGTTACAGTTTTCATGAATCTACATTACCTGTGGAGTAGGCGTGACACCAGCTTATCCATCAAGCGTCGAGTTTACAATCCTGCGATTCGCTCAATATTATTATACAGGTTAGAAACCTAGCCGCTACGGGTCGAGTGCACCAAAAGACTCAGTATTCGACCATCGATGTCTTCGAAGCATTGACCGAGTTTGATGGGGACGCCGGAGCAGTAATGTCGAAGTATGTCGAATGGTTCTCGGAAAAACTAATGCACCCACGATGGGTCAACTGCTAACACCCCATAGATTGCGCTGGCTTGACGTGTTCCGTATGACAGTTGGCCGACTCTCATGAAGAGCCCTATTCGCGAAACCACGTGAAGGATGGAAACGAGGGGAGGTTAAACAACTACTTGACACCGAATTGTGAAAGCCATTACCAGCAAACTCGGCTGCACTGGTCACTACCATCTTCCTGGATGAAGGACCCGAGACAAGATATATTGATGACTGAAGACGACATCAAACATGGCCCAGTTGCATTCCCGGTGGCACTTATGTATCCAAGCTATTGCCTCCAACACATAGCTCGCCCAAATTACCCCTGTACTCATGCATCAACTAAATCAGCCACCGGTTTCAATCCGTAAATACCTGTCCCACCTCCCTAAATCATCGGCGAACGAAACTGTGGTAGCTATAACCAGTGTATAGCATGTACGTGGTTTTTACAGATGCTGTTGTGGACGATAATGATGACGACGACCATGAGCATCTATAAATAAGGCGGGTGGGAGTCCGTCTGCGAATGAATTGCCGCTCCGGCTTTTTCGCATACTGTATCGTTGACACTCGTTTCTTTCGCTAGACGACCAAATCAGCTGAAATTACGGCGATGTTGTTGTTTCAAGCAGGAGCCTTCCACATCTCCTGGGCCTTTGCGACCCATCAGCATTTAGGCTCCTGATGATCATGCGACTGAGAGATATGCGTGCGCCATCGTGGCCCTTACTGGTAGATGTTTTCTAGCGTTGATGAGATCCGCTCACCTCGGCAATATCGTGTTAATTTAGTGGAGTTGGATGGTTTGGATAGACAGTCCTAAACGCTGTCCTTTTTCCATTCGTTCTTCAACCAATAATCGTCATAAGCATGGTTGCATATTTCCAGTGGTTTCCGGGCTGTTGAGCTACTGAAACTCGCTGAAGTTGAATGAAATTCCTCAGTGCCGACATCTGTATTCTTGAGGGGAGGCGAACTAATCACTAAACCCACACAACGGCAAAATCGGATTCAAGCTGCGTACCCTTGAAAGGAATGGCAATACTTCACTGAGACTCTGTATCGGCAAGCGATAGCCAAATGATTCACTCAAGACTTTATGAGTGATATGCGGCAGGTCACCTCTAAGTAGCTTGTACTTAAAGTTACTACTGACCGGAAGGAGACGACACTCCCCATTCTCCGTACGCCAAGCACCAACTCGACTCTATCACTTAACTGTGTTTCCTACGGGTTTAGTCGCCACCCAGGGTATGCCACCCACCAGAATGATAATATACGTGCATCTTGCTGGTCAAAGTAGTCATGACAGATCCCAATATGGCCCGTCTTTCTAAGCTTCAGAATTTCAGTCCGTCGGAGCACGTCATCGTGAAAAAAGGAAAGAAAGGGGATCCCATGCTGGCCTTCTACAAGCACACTGAGGTTCTGTATTTCAGGGCATTTCGATGGTAATTGATAACATGGATGACACAGATTGAATAAAAGCTATATACTGCAGCGCCACTAACCGAAAATGGGGGGACTAAGAAGCCCGTGTCAACGAAGGTGATTAATACCAACAGTACCCGAAACTTGCGTATCGGTTGTAAATCCGTGTGTTAGACCAAAGATACATCCCTGCATTGGCCACTTTGAACAAAACAAGGAAAACATCTTTACCAACAGACGAATAATTGACGTGAATAAAATGTGACAAACTACCGCAATGTATAGTGCAGGACATATCCCTTCTCTGTAACAAGCTTAACAGTTGTTTGCCAACTGTTCCGTTGCATGTCAGTTGGCAATACAAATCTCCTGTATGTAATCCTTCTTTGCGGTGAGATGGCTGTGGTCAGAGCGCGAATTTACTGACCGGAAGGTCTATGATTTGAAACCAACCTCTGCCTCTCGATTTCCCCTGTCTAGACTTGAAAAACCTGGCAGTATCCCGTTCCTCATGCTTTCTTCTGGTAGTGTTGCAGCTGGGCATCGAAGGGGTGCTACAGCTGAACGACTTTTTATATTGATGCACGATAAACGATACTCACAGTTCCTTTCTTCTACTCACCATGCCTCGGATATTGATCAACGCTATCTTCCATTCTCCATTACGAATTTTTGTGGCTACAGCAGGCCCATATATTATCAATGTTTAGACAGCAACGGTCTTCGGACCACCAAAAAGCCAAAATCTTAGGACCTCGCTCACTGTTTCTGATGCATTCAGCAGGCGTGGCTCTCGGGCTTTGTTCGTCATCTGAGATGAGGTCGGATCCTATTACTTAGGTACTCCAGTCCAACACAGCATTTCTGAACGCTGCCACCTATCAACGAAAACATTGCCATCATCATCAACACTAATGGAAAACCCAGCAAAACTACAGTGCCGCACTCCATCGTAAGTATTTTGTCGATTATCAGGTTGTTGAGACGCGCTTCCGATAGCCTATGCCATGATACTAAGACTGTTCGGGCTGTTTGTCATTTATCTCATCTTAAGTATTGAAAGCTTGTCCTTTTCCACACCTTTTCTAGTCACACCGTGCCGCTTCTTATGTGCCGTAGAATATCAAACAACTACGACTGGCCCTATGTTTTTTTGACCTGCGTGTCTTCGTTCACAGAATGATGGACAGTTTAAGATGTCTGAATACGATAACCGGTAGGAATGACTTCCGGTGATTGTATTCTGGTTTCTAGCAGCTACTCAAGCAGCTAAGCAACTACGTTGAATGTTTAGTCGACTTTGACCATACGTGTGGCGTCTGTACCATTGGTGGTGTGGTGTGCCCCTTCCTGTGCCAGGTATTCCTCGGGTTCACTGGATCTACGATCGTTTTCGACGAGTTGTTTCTTAGGATATTTGGAAACCAAATCCATACTGGTTGCTGGCTCACCTCTGTTCACTTGTGGTAGGTTCCGAAGTTGCCTTTTCTTTTGGTGCTCCTTTCGGGAATGCTTAGGTTCGTCCCTAAAAATTT